TCCAAATCCCCTTCTTTTCCCCACAAATTTCCCCCCCCCATAATTCCATTTTTTTCCCTACAGCCCCGCTTTTTTCCTTCCAGTTTCACTTTTCCCCCACTTTTCCCTCTACAATTCCCCCATTCCCGACGGCCCCGGTGGCGATCCCGATCCCGAAGGAGGATTCCCTGTCGCTGTCGCTGTCGCTGTCGCCAGCCCGGCGCCGCCGCCCCCTCCCGTCCCTCGGTGCCGCGCTAATCCCGGGATTAGCGGCGCTGCATTCTGCACCGTCAGGATTCTCCTGCCGGGCCGGGGCCGGGGCCGGGGCCTGCCCCGATCCCCGGGATCGCCCCGGGATCGCCCCGGGATCGCCCCGGGATCCTCTCCCCTCCCTCCCCCGGCGGCCTCGGGAGCGGCGCCGGCGCCGGTCGGTATTATGAAAACGGGGGAGAATGGGGAGAATTCCGTGAAAATGGGGGAGAATTCCACAAAAACGGGGGATAATGGGGCAGAATTCCATGAAAATGGGGGAGAATTCCATGAAAATGGGGATAATGGGGCAGAATTCCATGAAAATGGGGATAATGGGGCAGATTTCCATGAAAAGGGGGACAATGGGGACAATTCCATGAAAACGGGGGAGAATTCCATGTAAAATGGGGAGAGGAGAATTCCATGAAAAAGGGGCAGAACAGGGGAGAATTCCATGGAAAAGGGGGAGAATGGGGAGAATTCCATGAAAACGGGAGAATTTTATGAAAACGGGGGAGAATGGGGAGAATTCCGTGAAAATGGGGGAGAATTCCACAAAAACGGGGGATAATGGGGCAGAATTCCATGAAAATGGGGGAGAATGGGGGAGAATTCCATGAAAACAGAATAATAAGTGTTTCTTTAAAAAAGGGGATGATAAGGGAATATTCCCTAAAAATGAGGGACAATGAGGGAGTATTCCCTAAAAATGGGGGGATTATTCCCTAAAAATGGGATACTAAGGGAATATTCCCTAAAAATAGGGAGTTATAAGGGAATACTCCCTAAAACTGGGGGATAATAAGGGAATATTCCCCTAAACAAGGAATTATGAGGGAACAGTCCCTAAAAGCTGGGAATTTTGAGGGAATATTCCCCAAAACCAGGGAATTATAAGGGAATATTCCCTAAAACTGGGGGACAATAAGGGAATATTCCCCAAAAGCAGGGAATTCTGAGGGAATATTCCCCAAAAGCAGGGAATTCTGAGGGAATATTCCCCAAAGCAGGGAATTCTGAGGGAATATTCCCCAAAAGCAGGGAATTCTGTGGGAATATTCCCCAAAAGCAGGGAATTCTGTGGGAATATTCCCCCAAGCAGGGAATTCTGAGGGAATATTCCCCAAAAGCAGGGAATTCTGAGGGAATATTCCCCAAAAGCAGGGAATTCTGAGGGAATATTCCCCCAGGCAGGGAACGGGCAGCAGCAGCAGCAGCAGCAGCGAGGTTTGGAGAGGTGAAGGGGAATTGGGATTTTCCATCCCTCGGGGCGTTGGTGTTGTTGTTGTGTTTTTAGGGATGAATCCTCCCTGGACTTTTTTGGATCGAATTCCTGCGGGAGAGGCCCCTCAGGGCGTCCCAGCCCGGGACAAACCCGTCCCTAAATCCCTCGCGCTGCTCTGTCCTTGCCGGCGGCGCCGCGTTTACAAAAACAGGGATGGATGGAATTTTTTTCCCCTGGAAATTCATGATAAGGGCGAAAACCTCCAGAACTTCCCACTTGCTGATTTAACAGGGAATCCAAACCCGTTCCATCCCTTTTTCCCTCCCACTGAGGCGAATCCCCAGGCTGGATGCATTCATGGCACCAAAAATTCCCGCTGGAAAACCCGGCCCAGATCTGATGGCTGAACTGAGTTCACCACTGAAACAGGGGAAACCCCAACTTCCTTCCCCTTCTGGCCCCAAATCTCCAAAATCTCTAGTTTTTATTTCAGCTGGGCTGGGTGGGGCTGAGCAGAGAGCAGATCAGGGTGAGAAAATCCCTTTTGGGTTAAAAACGCCTCTTCCCAGCACTCTGCTCTCCTGACCTCCAACTCCACTCCCCGACTCCTCCCTAAAAACCCAAATCCTCCTCATTTCCCTCCCAGCCCGGCGCCTGGCTTTCATTACCTGCTCCTTCGGGTGGGAAGGTCTGCGGTTCATTCCCGAGGGTGAGGATGCTCCTCGCGTCCGCGTGTCAGAGCTGAGCGTTCCCCCTCTCCCCGCTGGTTCCTCCCCAGGCTGTCCTGAGCCCGCCATGTCCGCCAAGGTGCCGATCTACCTGAAGAGAGGCAGCCGCAAGGGCAAGAAGGAGAAGCTGCGGGACATCCTGTCCTCGGACATGATCAGCCCTCCGCTGGGCGACTTCCGCCACACCATCCACGTGGGCAGCGGCGGCGAGAGCGACACGTTCGGGGACGTCTCCTTCCTGCAGGGCAAGTTCCACCTGCTGCCCCGCGGTGACGCCGGCGACCGCGGCGGCGCCGAGGCGGCGCCGTTCGAGTTCTCGCGCACGGCCACCATGTCGGGCGGCGAGGCGGCCGCGGCGCCGTCGCCGCTGCTCAAGAACGCCATTTCCCTGCCGGCGCTCGGCGCCGCCCAGGCGCTGACCCTGCCCGCGGCGCAGGCCCCGCCGAAACCCCCGCGGCTGCACCTGGACGAGGCCGCGGCGTCGCCGCCGTCGCCGCCGTCGTCACCGTGCCCCCGGCTGGCCGCCAACGGCGAGGCCGAGCCCTTCCTGTCGCACGCCGGGTCCCTGCTGTCCCTGCACGTGGACCTGGGGCCGTCCATCCTGGAGGACGTGCTGCAGGTCATGGACAGGCACCAGGCCGAGCGCGGCGCCGGCGCCCGGCCGGAGATCCTGACGTGAGCGCGGCGTTGGGAAATGGACGGTGAGGATGAGGATTTTGGGCGGTTTTCGGGTGTGGCTCTCGGATTCCAGCTCGCGTTTCCTCGCGCCGGGTGAGGGTTTGGCCTCGGGGGAGAAGCAGAGTGACCCCACGAGCTCTCCCAGCCTCCTCAGTGCCCGAGCTGACCACGGGAAACACGACAGACCCCACGGGATGAATTCCCAAAGATTCCAGCCAGGAGGATTCGGGGGGACAGCGGGGGTTTGTTCTCCACGGCTCTGAACCTCCTGAACCATCACGGCGCTGTCACCTCAACTTCTGCTCCATTAAATCCTTTGGAAATCCCACAGAGGGGGAAACCTCCACTGGGAAATCTCCACCGGGCTCTGTGTCCCTGTGGAGAAGCCAAAACTCCGCGTGGAGGAGCCGGGATCTCCCAACGGAGCTCTTGTTCTAGGAACTCAATCCAAGGAGGGGCCAAAAACCCCTCTGGGGCCGAACTGGAAATGGTCGAGGAGATGCAAAACCAACCAAAAATCCCAACGTGAGCTGCAGGTGGATCCTGGCACCGCCGGATCCGTCGCGGACGGCTTGGGTGGAGTGGGAGCAGGGAATGCCGAGGGGAATTCCAGCTGGATTTTGGGGAATGGGGACAAAAACCCCTCTGGAAACGCTGCTGGTGGAGGAGCCAGGGTGGGAGCAGCGGGGCCTCCTCGTCCAGGCTCCTGCCACCAATTCCATCCTTTCACCGATTTCTGGCAGTTTGAGCCCAGAGCTGGATCCCCCCAGGGCGGAGTCGCGGCCCCTCCTGACCCCGGTGCTGTTCCTCATTGCCTAACGAGTCTAATTTAGATTATCTGACTAATGACTCATTAGATTCTCGTTAACGAACCCTTGTCCTGCCTCTTCCTTCCCCTCCCCCTGTGCGTCGGTAAACCCGAACCACTTTTGGTGCAAACACCCAGAATTTGGGGATAAACCCATTTTCCAAGGTTTTCATCTGTAAAATAAGTAACAAACTGAGGCTAATTAGGCTCGATCAGGTTTAATTTCTATTTGGTCCAACCTTTCCCTGCTCTAAACTCTTTTCTCCCCCCACACTCTGTCCACGTTTTATTTATTTTGGGATTTTTCCTCCCCAAACCAATTCCAGCCGTTTCAGAGCCTCGTTTGTGATTAATTAACCCCAGGGACGTTTGTGATTAATTGACCCCAGAGACTGGGATGGGAACGTGGCTCCGTGTCCCCTCCTGTCCCACAAACACACCACAGCTGCTGCTCAGACAAACAACGTGAAGGGAAACGGGCCCAGAACGGCTCATTTTGGGCGGGTTTCTGTGCTTTGGGGGCTTTCCAACATGGGCTGGGTTGGGACAACGTGGATGGACTTTTTTCCCTGGATTTCACCCCAATTTTCCTGGGTTCCACCCACCCTAATCAGTGATTTAAAGATGGAGCTGTTTGTGCCCCACCTCAGCCCAGGAATTGCGAAACCGTCGCTGCCGGAGCTGTTTCGAAATATCAAAATCAGCCAAAATCCCCTTTTTTTTTTTCCTTTTTGTCCCTTTTCTCCCTCATTTTTTCCCTTCCACAACTCAGGGCTGAATTTTGGGGTGTTCCAGCTTTGATTTGGGACCTCGTCCACTCCTTTCTGTTCTCCTCCCACTCATCCCCCCGTGCTCCAGTCCTGGAAAAGCTCCTTTAATTTGCCAAATTTGGGGGTTCTTTTAACCATTAAAAGGTGATTTTGCTTTTCTCACCTCTCTCCTCCTTCCTTTCTTCCCTAATATAAACCCCCTTGCTATAAACCCCTAAAATTATCCCCAAGATTATTGTTATTATCCCTGAAATTATCCCAAACATCACTTTATCTCTGAAATGTTTTTTTTTCCCCCAATCTCATCTCCTGCAAAAAACCCAAATTCCTTAATTATTAATTCATGAATAAATCATTTGGGATCCCTTTCCACAGGACTGGAGCCTCCTTCACTTCTGCCGTAATTAATCAGTCCCCAAATTAACGATTTATGCAAATCACTGTTGCCAAACTTGCTGATTTACTCCCAGTTCCAAGAATTTGAGTCATCCAAAGCAGCCGTGACTCAGCGCCCACTCCCCTCCCTTTTTTGGGGAGTTTATCCCGGAATCAATCAAGGATGGAATCGTTAATTAACCCCAGCAGGGGCACAGGCCTCCCTCCCAACTTCCTCGTTATCCCAGGATTTCCGGGCAGCGGATTAACGCCGCCCACGCCAGCGGTCAGTGCTTGACCCCCCGGCGTGGCCGGAGCCGGGAACGGAGCCGGGGATGAGCGCCAGCAACAGCCGGCCTGGGATTACCAGGAGGAGGAGGAGGAGGAGGAAGGTTTGCCCAGGGGGTGACCTTGGGGGAAAAAGGCGAATTCTTAACAAACAGGGAAAAAAACGCAGGTGGGATGTGGAAGTAATGAGGAAAAAGAGAGAGGAACTCACCTGGAAGTGAGGAACTCACCTGGAAGTGAGGAACTCACCTGGAAGCTGACATCAAACCACGCTCGCCATGGGGGTCTGTGGGTGACCTCTGTCCTGGGGGATGAATTTGGGGATACTTGGTTAATTCAGGTTTGATAAAAAGGGAAAAGAGCTCAAAAATGGGAATTTTTGGGGATGAAGACACATAAGGAATCTGGGGAGATTTGGGATCGGAGGGATCCATCCTCACTTATCCCCAATTTCACCCTCTCCTAGCCCTCGTTTATTCATTTCCCCATCCCCAATTTATCCCTCATTTCCCTCCCAACCCTCACCCTTCTTTCCATTTTATCCCCCAAACCTCCTCCGTCCCTTCCCTTCCTCATTTCCCTTCCCATTCTCCATCTTCTCACCCCTTTCCACGGAAATCTTGAGGTTGAAAAAGATCATCGAATCCAACCTGGTCACCCCTGAACGGTGTTCCCATGTGCCACATCCAGGCTTTTTTTGGGATAATTCCAGGATACCAATTCCGCATCTCAGGGTGGGATAACCCTTTCCAGGAGTTTTCCTCACTAAACCTCCCCTGATACAACTCGAGGCTGTTCCCTCTTGTTTTATCCATCGGGAGAAGGGGTCTCAGCCCCAGCCTCATTCCAGGGAATTGGAGGGAACAACGGGTCTCTAAAACCTCCTTTTTCCAGGATAAACCCCCTCAACCTCTGCCATCATTTCCCCCTGCTTTCTGTCCATTTCTCCCTCATTCTCCTGCCTTGTTCTCTCCCATTTTTTCCCTCATCCTCCCCCCATCTTGTCACTCATCCTCCCATCATTTTCCCTCCAGTCTCCCCCCTCCATCTCCCCCTTTTCTCGCCCCATATCCCCCATTCTGCCTCCCTCCTTCATCCCCATGCCCTCCCTTTCTCCCCGTACCTTCTTCCGTCCCTTTCTCCCGGATTTTCCCCTTTTCCGTGCATTTTTCCCCTCAGATCCTTTTCCCGCCATTTTTCCCCTCAGACTTTCGCCCCCCCTCCCCACAACTCCCCCTTTTCCCGCCTTTTTCCCCGCGCACGCGCGCGGCGCACAGCGCCGCCCAGCGGTCGGGAGGACTCCACGCTCCCTTCCCCCGGCCCTCCCTCTCCTCCCTCTCCCTCCGCCTCCCCTTTCTCCACCCTTCCCTCTCCCCGCTCCGCCTCCTCCTCCCTCCATCCCTCTCCCTCTTCCTCCTCCTCCCTCTCCCCGCCCCTCCCGCCCCTCCCTCCGCGCACGCGCCGCGCGGCGCCCCGGCGGCGGAGCCAAGATGGCGGCGGTGGTTCAGAATGTGGTCAAGCTGTGAGTGCGGGTTCCCCCCCCCCCCCCCCCCCCCCCCGCCCCCCCCCGCGGCCGG